CAAGTATACGTAGATACCGTTGAGCCTAGTCTTTTTTATATTTTTTAAACTTACTTGGTAACCTTAGTAACTGTTATATTCATTGCACAAATTAATCAAAAACCACAACATTATTTACCGAATCTATGTGAATAATTTAAAACTTTAAATTTATGTTCACACAATTAGTTAAATAGCGAAATGTGAGCAACACACCGATGTAAATTAATTTTCAAAGAGGACCACATCTGCGTCCGCCATCTTGAATGTTTGACAACTAACTTATTAGTGTGTAGTGTCTTCACCGCACATCAGTGAACTGCATCTGTACGGAACACCGCATCTAGTACGCTAGTAGGTACATAGATATCGTTAAAATAACTTTTATTTCCTAAAAATATTAATAATTCAAAATCATTGACCTACCAACACAATGTCAATGTTTAAAATGATAATTTTATCATTAAGTATTCAAATGTCATTATAATCAAGAAAAAAAATTGAAGACTTATTAACTTAAAAACTAATCTTTACATTTTGAAATGTACGTTATCAATAATTTCAAAAACAAGATTAATTTTATGAATGGTGCCAATAATGATTTTTACGTTTATTTTTTTGTTAATAATAATAGAAATGATGATCTCAATTGTAATTTTTTACGTCTATATCACTAAATTGAAAAATAAAATATATTCGGCCGGATTCGCATCGACGTCTCCTACCAAACCGTGTTAGATGCTGTGCCAACTAAGCCACGGAAAAAACCATTAGGTTTTTCAACGACTTTTTAGCCGTAGCGCCATCTATGATTCGATACAAACTTAATTACAGTTAATAGCGACATCTCTAGCCAGGACTGGTAGCTGTAAAGTTACCTAACTGGGTGACGAAATACTTTCATAGATCTTTTTCACTCTTATTACATTGACTTAAGTCGACAGCGTAGTGACTCCCGAAACCGTGTAATAAATGATTGAGGGTAACTCTACTCAAAGCTCAAGTCAGGACTTGAGCAGACTTGAGTATGATTTCAAGCACTGGAAATACGACCCTAATGGTAAGGACTTGAGTATGATTTTCAGTGCTTACTGCAATACTCAAGTCCTGACTTGAATATTGAGTAGAGTTCTGGAATACGACCCTGAGTACTTTGTCTTTCATTTGAATACTTTAGACGATATTGTCATTTGTAATACAAAGTATGTATTATTTAACAACTTCGGCTGCCAAATGGTTTTGTGATGTGGAGATTTCGGGTTCGATTCCCGGTAGGAGCAATTCTCAACATGATTTTTCCAAATTGGTTCTGGTCTGGGTGTTCTGGGTAGTAATGCTCCAGAGTGATTGAAATGAAAAAATGATGAGTGAAAGTACTCGAGTAGTGTATGGATTAGATATACATATCGTACATACAATGTAATAAAAGTACAGTGCAATAACGTCTTCAGGATGCTGCTGGAACTGCCACTGCAGTGCGTTCGGCATGTTTGCAGATTACTTTTATGCTATACTTATATATACCTATTCTACTTTTTAATTTAATATCATTCTTTGCATAATGTAGACGGCCGCAAAAGTGTATGGAATTCATCTGTGTGTGTGCAACCACTATTGAGTTACTCCCTTTCCAACAAAAAAGAAACATCAAAAACGGTTCACAAATCCCTAAGTAATTGAGTAACATACACAAAAATATACAGTCAAATTAAGAACCTCTTCCTTTTTTTAAAGTCGGTTAAAAATAATGACAACTGTTAATTTGATTTTCCTTTTTTTATATACCAGCTGTCATATGGTCGGATATTTTTAATACATTCTTACTTAACCTCTATACATGTTGGATTATTATTTATATCAAAATGCACTAGACTAGACCAAAATAATTTTGCACCTTAACTATGTATGTAATGTATGCACCTGTAACTATAAGTATGTAGGTAATTTCAACAAGGGTCGGTCTTTGCGACTCTTTTAAATTATCATCTATAACTTAAATTGTACAAGTCCATTAGTTTTCATGAATAATTCTTTGTTCTCCACTAAATTAGATTTCTTATTTTGTTAACAAGGTCCTTCCCGACTTATCCCTGCCACACGCAGATTACAGTCCCCCACTATGATCGTTCCCCTACCTGTTGCGTTCGGTTACAATGTTCGTTACGCGAAGCCTGGAACGTTCTAGAAAATAAAATCCTACGCGTTGTACTGTTCGAGAATCGATTCTATTCGTATAACGCTACGGATGCCCTTAAATCGCATGAAAGGGATAGACATTACCTTTATGTTCGAAACATCGAATGTTGTGGAAAATAATGGTATGTTCTCTTTTGCTGTATTATTGGAATTACACCCTTAATAACTTGATTTAAAGTAGATTTTATTTCAAAAGGAAGAGCAAATACGACCTTATAGGTTTGTATTGCTTTTTGATGGCAAGTAGTTGTAAACAGAATTTTCAAAGCAAAATTAAACTTATGCGTCTCAGTGAAAGTCTAATGTTGTTTGTGCCGACTACAGGATGCAAGATTTACGCCTGACATTGATGTGATTGCGTAGAGTCAGCATATCAAGTGTATTATTAAATCATAGATGCTCTACGCAGAGACCAAACCCATGCTCAGCAGTGAGCTTTTATATACCCGAACCAATTTAATTTCGATGTTCCAATAAAGCATGTTGTAATTAATTTACTAATTACCAGAGCACATAAAATAATTACAAAAACTTAGTTCCACAGATGTACTTAGGCTGAAATGTATCGACTTTGGGCCCTCTAACTCCCAAGTACGTATTGGATTGAGGTCATACCCTAGAAATTATTGGAACAAAGTCAAAATGAACCTTAACGTTTACTTACCAATATTTTCTCCTACAGGGTTAACCAAGGCGTGGTAATGAACCCAAAATTGTTCTACTTCTTCTTAGAGTGCCTCTTCAATCCTGAAGGTAGGCCGTGAGCTTTCTGTATTTGTCTCTATCAGCAGTCAAACGGAACAGCTGTTCGACTGAGGTCCACTATCGGATGTTCTTACTACGTCCAGCGCGTCCCTTTCCCTGCACTTTGTTCATTTTTATCAGCTGCAGCCAGCGTGTATTTATCGTTCCTGATCACGTGATCAAGATACCCTATTTTGCGCCTTTATATAGATAGATGACGTCATTTTCCGGGCCATATGAACGCGCTGAAGCGCGGTCTAGTCCGTAACCTTCTATGTCCAACAAATGCGCAATTTACCACCATATTATCATCGACGAAATTTCAAGGTAATTTCCTTTCAAAAGAAATGTAAACAAATGTGAGACGCAATTATTACACACACCGGTACATTAAACAGAACACTAGCTTAATCTCCAAGATAAGGCAGTATCTTTTGGACTTGGGTTAAGACTGGGTGTTCTGGGAAGTGACTCAGTGTAACAAGGAATTCTCTAGTTTGAGGCCAGGCATTTGGTGTAGTTGTCTGGTAAAATTATTATTATTTCATAAGCTTCACTTAAAACGTTTTTTTTAATTATTAAAGTTGGATTTAATCAATGTTAAAATGTTATAAATTTCAGCTGTTTTGGCTTTTTCTAAAAAGTTTAAAAAATACAATTTGTTTAAATTTAATTTTTTATCAACAAAGTTTGAGTAATTCTATACCAAATCGTTTTTAACAGATGTTAATTTAATTGCTACTATGTCTGATTCTTATTTATTAAAAAATACACGCACTATTCTATATTCTATCTTTTTTTGTTCCGCTAAATATGCGGGTGAGTGTATATATATATATATATTTTAGATTTTTTTTTACAACATCAAGTGACGGGACGAACAAGTAGTGCGCCTGATGGTAAGCTACACGCCTGTCCATAACAGTTACAGTGAATCTGAAGGGCACTACCACTGCGCCCGTCACCCTGAGACATAAGTTGACAAGTCCCATGTATATGATACAACATTCACTTATCTTTTTTAACTGATACTACCAGTCTTCTAATTTGTTCTTATACCAAAGGATGTAGCAATATTTAAGCTGCTATGAACACAAACAAGCTATTATAAAAAAAACAGCGAAAAAAATTGTAAGCAGTAACAAGTGAGAGCCTATTGACCCAGTGATACTGCTAACGGTACACGGTACGGTCATCGACTCTTGCGCATGTGGTCTAGCAGACGTCGTCAACCATGTCGCTCTGTTAGCACACTACAAATTACGTTAATTACAACAGGATTACAAAACTGGCTTTTAGAATTTGTCATTTAAATCTACACGGTCCCAAGGCAAAGTCACTGATCTACATACGTACTCTGGGTAGGCAGAGAATATAGCTTTCCACTTGGTATGATCATGATAACATGTGTCTCCTCAACAACACACATAAGCGTTCATTACATTATATTAACCTATTGTTAATATAATTACAGACGTCCTCGATATTGCCGTGGCAACTTGGCTGTGGTCAGCCCTTAAGAACTACGTCACGAAAAAGTTCTTACCTATGATTTTTACTTAAATAAGACGAAAAATAATTAACATTTTAACAGATGTTTGTTTCCAGTGAACTATTCCATTTCGATGTCTGTTCTATAAAGAAATGGACATTGGTATTAGCTTCCGTACAACAGAATGATGTACATACCTAGCCAAGTAAGTATAAACATATGTAAACAAGTACAATTGTGGTATTTTCGTATGAAAAACAATATCTATTCTTGTTTAAAATTTACTTTACGGTGTTAACACAAGTGTGTGTCCAAACAAGACAAAGTTACAATGAAAATAATATGTGAATTTCCATTGAACAATTTTGCATGAATCTATGACACAATGAAAAACAAACCCCGCCATACACGAGACTCATCTGTTTATGTATAGCTATTATGAATCATCGATAGTGAAAAGCGCGAAAACAAAAGCTGTAAGCAATGTATGGAATGTTCACGACGCCTGCCGCAGTCATCAATGGATCGCACATTCTCGAACGGTCCCCCGCTCACCAAGTATAAATAAAGGCGCGCGCGCTGCAACCGGCATACGTTGTTACGAAAGCGAACCACACCAACGATGCTCAAACAAGCTCTACTATTTTGCCTGCTCCTAACTATTTCCCTCTGCGAAGAGGGCAAGCGTGAAGATCGCCGACGCAAGCATGTAGATCATACAGATCATGTAGACCCTTTGGCAGCACTCGACAGGCACCTATCACACACCCTGGCTTATCACTACTTGTGGCCATGGAACCAGATCTTCAAAGCCGCAGCCTCTCTGGACGTTGACAACTTTGAAGAAACTCAACAAACTTCAGATGATAAGACGTACACGATCAAACTGTACGCGAAATCATTCAAGCCCGAGGAATTGAAGGTGAAAGTGAAAGAACGCAATATCATCGTAGAAGGCAAGCACAATGTGACCAATGATCACCAGCACTTCATGACCAACCACTTCGTGCAGCGGTTCGTCCTGCCTCCTGGCAGTAAACCAGAAGAAGTGACGGCTGTTTTCACCGATAAGAATGTCTTGGTTCTCTCTATACCTCGCCACGAAGTGCCTCCACCTGTAGAAAGGATCGTGCCAATCGAAGTTAAACTCTCTGAGTCCACTTCCGAATTACCTACCACTACGGAAAATAAAGAAGAAAAAAAAGTGATTAAGGAGGCAAATAAGGACGAGAAGAAAGAGGAAAAACAGGAAAAGAAAGCCGAAAAGGTTACTAAGAAACCTTCGTCTGCAAAACCAACACTTGAACAGGCCGAAAAAGAAACGATTGACGAAATGAAGGAAATAGATGATGAAGGGGCACAGCCTTCAACAGTGATTCCCCTCGAAAAACTGGAGTTGCAAGAGGCGACGACCCACATCGGCAAAATCAGGAAGAAGGAGTTGAAGGAGACCACAAAAATGACAAAGACCAACCAGGTCACCAAAGGCTTAGACGGCAATGGATTAGATTATCTACTCGTTGACACAGAGTAGATATTATTAGTGGAATGAGATTGTGACAAAAGACTGATTAGTATGAAGCTTTAACGTGCCAAGGGATTTTCGCATGCAAAAAAACTTGTCGACATTTTTTTGCGTGCTTAATTCTGTTCGTAGCGGTTATTGTGTTGTGATTTGTTAAGATTATTCATTGTTAAATAAAGAAATTAGTAAAAAGAATACTGCTTTTGTTTTATTTCTCGAAACGGGCTTGTAGAACCAGTCTGGCGACTTTCTTTTTGATCCGCGGATTTACGGCTTTGAACGACGAATTGACAAACAAGTTAGTTACGTTGTTATTTCTTATTGCTTACTTTATTATTTCTCTGTAACGTCATGAATTTCTTAAAACTGAAACATGAATGCTTAGTTTACCTCTCATTAGAAGTCAAGGAAAACAACGTGATGAAACCAATATCCAAGACTGTTCAGACGAGTGATGTCCCACACCAAAATCGGACCAGTGAGGCGGACTATAGCGTGCACCCTTTCCTTAGAAGGGACACGTGTCCAACAGCAGGACGTATAGCGGTTTGATAACGATGATGATGATGCATAAATACACTATTAGACTACATTAGAATGCTACATGACAACATGTAGCATTCATATGTAGTAATGTCATATGTAGTCTAAAATAGGAAGTCAAAAAAGAATACGCATAGTTCAAAAAAGTTTTAAGTTTTAGAGCCCCTTGTGACTTTATCTATTTCTGCCTCCAAGCCATTGACTTACAAATAAATGGACGACGGGTCTAATACACAAACTACGAAAAAAATGTCCCAAGTCAACCTATTTAAACGTAGTGACATGTAAAAGAATATGAAAAAGCTAAAACGTTGAATTTAAATTGTAATGTCATCGCAGTACTGTCCAATTTTGCTTGCTTCGCTGTCAGTCGAACAAACGAAGACTAAAGCGTGAATGACGCTCTGTATACGATTTTAACGCCCTATAAGTTCGGACACTTTTTAGCGCGGACCCGACGTCCATATAATTGTAAGTCAATGCTTGAAGCAGTTATTTTATTTTAACTTACTGGGAAATCAACGGCTATCTTACAGAGTAAAAGCTGAATTAATAACGGAGAGCCAAATATAGGTCCTCACCGATCGACACACACATTCAATTATAACTATATAACTACTAACTATACATTTTCGCAACACAGTAATTACTTACTCGCCAAAAAACAAACTACTATTATGACGCTTCGCCGATGCAACACAAGTGTTAAAAAGTGTCGATATCAACCTGCTTGGACAATTGATTGAAGCTATTACTCGTAAGAGACATGCATTGTGCCGGAAATTCGAAGAGGCCAAAGGTACGCACAAAAGTGAATTAAACCTAAGGGGCTTTGTAGGGGCTCTAAGAGAAATCTCGGACACGAGTTCCGGAGAGTATACGGTACCAGAAGCAATTTTTCGCAAAAATACTAGATCTGCTATCTGACATCGTACGTCTAGTGGCAAAAGATGATGTTTCTCACTATCAAGATACCTGTAATGTGAGCTTTGCTGCATTCCGGTTTTGAAGAGGCACATGAGACTTGTTTACTTATGTCACAAGGTGACAAGCGCAGTGTTCCTCAAATTTTCGCGAATGAAAGCTCTGTGCGGCACTGCAACTGTTATGGACAGGCATGTCGCTTAGCAACAGGCGCACCAATAACTTTCTTTTAAAACACTTTCAAGAGCACGTCGTGCATGGTCCAGTGACACGGTATCAAAACAACACAATTAGTAATAGAACACCTCCAACTTTCTATCACGCTCAACAATAGCCAAGTAAGGCAAAGCAAATTGTCCGTCAATCAAAGCCAAGAGCCTTGCCGATCGTGACAAGGAAAAACCGACATTATGTTTAGAGAAAGTGTTCTAGTCAAGCACAGAACACAAAAAATCAAGTATCTATAATATTGTATAGTTTGACAATAAAGATAAATAGAAATTTATTCTGTATAAAAATTTAACCTAAATACATGAATCTTATTAATTACCCTTTTATTATTGTATGTTTACATAATTTTAATTTAGTTTAGTAGTGCAAGTTAGTCTAGGTGATACCTAAACTAAGTAAAGTCGCTTACTTGTGTCTTAGGTATCCAAATCGGTGCTTATAGCACAATGGTTAATCAACATATTTTCAACATATTTTGTTCAATAACAATAAATAACAATAAAACATGAATACTTAATTATATTAGTTAACATCTTAACTATTATTAATATTACGTAACAACACAAAGTAACCGAGTTCTTAGGTTTTCGCAATTGTTACACATAGGAAATGAAATTATTTTTCCGGATTTAAATCGCATATATTTGTTTTTTCAAACAAACCGACGTTTCGGGCCCTTTACAGGTCTCATGGTCACTTAATATAGCGTAAATTGGAATGTTTTCTTTGTAAAATTAAAAATAAGGTATTTAATTAATAACTATTGTAACTATAGTGAAAAAATAGGGTGGTTTGCATCAATATTAGACATAACTGGTTGAAGACTGTACCACCTCAGTCAACCGTGACCATGGGACCTGTAAAGGGCCCGAAACGTCGGTTTGTTTGAAAAAACAAATATACGCGATTTAAATCCGGAAAAATAGTTTCATTTCCTAAACACAAACTAAATTTTCGGTATCATGTCAGTCTTGTATGGTTTTCTTACATTGAAACTTATTCATAGTATATATACATAGTGAATGATTTATTTTATTATACAAAAAGCTACCAAGAAAGCAAAATAATTCTCTCTTTTCTCTCTCTCTCTCTCTCTCTTATTCTAAAATAATAACTTGCCTTATTGTATATGTACATAATGCACTGTTATTCCCGCCACAGAACACCGGTCACCTGCAGAAATAGGAGATTAACTTCCTGTTGAAAACCGACTGTACACAGAAAATGACACTGGAACGATTGTTTTGAATACCATAACCTCTTTCGAGGAATTGTGTTTGTAATCAAGTGACATTCCACTAGAATATTATCCGTGTTATGTATGATCTAGATATTTGTAGTTATAAGATCAACGCTATTCAAGACAATTATATGAAAAGCATTCACTTTTTTTGTTGTTTTTAATTTGGGTTCTCTCAATAAATCGCGTAATTTGTTTCTTTTTGTACAAACACACCAACGTTTCGTACCCTCTACAGGTCCTTGGTCACGGCTATTTTTATGGTAAAGTCATCAACTGTTAACGAATAATATTAATGCAAACCACCCTATTTCTTACTATACTTTGAAAAGTTATTAATTTAAATTCCTTATTTTTAATTTGCAAATATATAAATAGATAATGATAAAATGGATAACCAAAATAGGTAATGTACTTCTAGTAAAGTAATTTATAATCTCAGTACAGCGTACTAAAAAAACCGACCTCAGAAGTCATTCATCCCCTAGTTTGTCACCGTTAGAGGTGGAATATTTTCTTAGATAGATAGGTAGATAAAAATTTTATTCACTTTCATGACAACTTATTTATACACGATCCACTAAAACTAACACCATAATTATTATTATATTGAACCACTTAAAATAACAAATTTTTATAACATATAACTAATTCAAGTAATTACTTTTGGAAGTTATGGCAGTGAAAAGGCTTTCTTCAAATATAAATGGGACCACTTCTGAGGTACCCTCTTTCTAACGAAAAAGAATCATTAAAATCGGCTCACAAATGCCTCAGTTAACGTATAACATACCTACATACAACTATACGTTTCTTGAAGTCAGTTAAAAAGGTTCTTTTTTGTTATTTATCATCTTTAGGTTCTCAAGAGACTCTATAAGCAGGAAACCAGCAGTTGTAATAGCAGTAATACTCCTTGTAAAAGAGCGACCAGGGAAGTATTGACACCTCGTCTATTTCTGCCGCCAAGCAGTAATGTGACCATTACAGCGTTCCGGTTTGGAAAGCTAAGTCAAAGTCAAAGTCGAAGATTATTGATTCCATAAGTAAAATAAATTTACACTTGAAAACGTCACATTTAAGCTACTGCTCGTTCACTACGCTGACCTCACACACTTACAAATATTTGAGTAAATGTACTGTGATGCCACAGTCATGATACCAGTTTCCTTAAACTTTTCTCTGAGAGAAAGAAAAGTTTTTGGAATACAAATATGGTTTGAATATCTGCCGCTTTACCCCACATGAGAATCCCGTAGAACATTATACTATGGAAGTAACTAAAGTAAACTAGTCTAGCAGTACTAACATCGGTAAGCTCACGTATTCTGCGGACTGCGTATGCAGCGGAGCTTAATCTGCTGGCCAGGGAAGTTGCTAAGGGTGCTGGTGAAATTACAGGCACATGGAACTTATCAACTTATGTCTCAGGGTGTCGGGCGCAACGGCAGTGCCCCTCAGATCTTTGCGATTTTAAAAAACACTGTTAGCTTACTATCGTTAATTTAACACCAGTTCGAGAATGACCGGTAAGCTGTTTGTACCCTAAATAAAATTAATTTTGAAAAAAATCAACTACATTCATTCAATACCGTTCATGATTCAACCGATTGGGATACTTAAGATCCAAGTAAACAATTTTACTTAGTTTAGTTAGGTGTCACCTAGATTAACTTGCACTACTATCCTTAATTAAAGTTATGTACAAACATACAACAATTTCATTATTTGCGGTGGTCTGGCGCATGTGTGTAAATAAAAGGTTATTTAATAAAATGCTTGTATTCAAGTAAAATTTTTATACAGAATATTTTTATTTTTATCTTTAAAAAAACGCAGTATGTTGGTACTGTGAAACAAACAAAGTTTTCCAAACGCGAAACTCGTGTTTCACAACAACAACAATATTGCAATAACTTAACTGCCTCCGTGGCCGAACGGTTACCATGCCGGACTGCCACGCAGTGGTCCCAGGTTCGTTTCCCGGGCCGGGAGAAATGTTTGTATGGCCTACAATTATTTGTCACGTGAGTTTGGGTGTAATTTGTGGTTGTCTATGTGTGTGTCCATGTCACCTGCGACACACGGTTTTCCAAGTGCGGGGCTATGCTGAGATTGTGCGTTATTTATTTATTTATTTATTTAACTTCCTACCAAAAAATTGCAATAATGTGATACACATGCTTTACTCTCCATGCAACAACGCCTCTGCCACAAA